GGGAGCAAAGAGGTCGGCTGCCAGCCTCTGCCCCACTCTCGCAGGAGTGAGAGGGACAGGGGTTATCCCACCACCACGAAAGAGATTGGAGTGGGGGGGAGCGAGAGAGGAAACACCCGGGGTTATCCTGACAGTCTGTAGGAGGAGCAGAGGAAGACAGAGGATGGGCAGAGGTGTGAGCCGGCAGCCAGTGGTCCGGAAAACTGCCCTGCCAAAGGGTTTCTGGTCCCTCAGCCCATGGGATGTACAGCTGGGGGGCTGAATCCTGGGACGCACCCCACGCCCGCAGCTCCCACGGCAGCCAGCTGCGCTGGGAGGCGTTCCAGCCTCTCTCCCAGGCTCACGGCTCTGCACAGGGCTCAGGATGCAGCCAAGGCAGGGATGTCACCTAGGAAGCGCCCTTGGTGGGGTCCATGGTTCCTCTGGGGCTGCACACCACAGCTGGAGGGACCAAGCAGCAGCTGGATGCCACCATGGCTTCCCAGACACTGCAGCTGGGCTGTCCCCAGCCCTGTGTCAGCCAGCCCCAGCATGGCTCTGCGCCGACCTGGCTGCACAGCTCCTGGGAAAGGGACTCCTCCTCCAGACCTGCATGCAGCTTTCATCCACCCTGCAGGTATTTACACCCTGCATTTGATATCCCTCCACGGAGGGACCCTCTTTTCCCCAGCACACCAGGCTGGACCGCAGGAAAGAGCCCTGTGCTCTCGCTTAAGACTCAGGACAGAAACCCTCAAGACACTTGGGTTGGACCTGCCGGCAGCTCTGCTCCATGTGCAGGGCACCATGGCCAGGAAAGGAGCCACTGAAGAAGCTCCAGCATGTGCCAGCATCCAGGAGCATTCTTCACCTTCCAAGAGCTCCTTTCAGCCCAGGTCTGAACCACGGCTGCAGGGAGAGAGATCTTGGAGGCTCTGGGCTCAGCCCCAGGCACGCCTGGCCACCAGTCCTGCAGCCATCCACACCTACACATCTGGACCGCTCCTGAAACAGCCCAGTGCTCCCAGCACATCTGTCGTGTGAATCAGCCAGATGGAGCTGGGAGCTCAGCCCCCAGGGCTGCCCGGAGCCCCCCAAAGAGCCTGGCTGCCCCTCACCACGCACAGCGGGCAGGGATGGAGGCTGGACCTCGCCTTGAAACCATCAAGGTGACATCTCCCAGAGCCGCTGTGCTCACTCCAGTCCCTGTGGCTGAGCTGTCTGGTTATCTCCGTTTGTCGGAGAAGGATCGGAAGGTAACGCAGCATCCCTGGATGCCAGGCGCTGCTGGGGACCGACAGCTTCCCTCCATGGAAGCTCTGCCCACGCCTTGAGGAAAGATGCAGGGCAGCGACCTTTCTGCTCTCCCTGCCCGGCCCAGCCAGCAGGCTGGGGGAAAAAAAAACACCCTTTCGGGAAAAACTGAGTCAGGGAGAAACACCGTTGATGTAAAAACCATATTAACAGAGAGATTCTCCTCCCCTTCTGCACTGCAGGGCCAAGAGCTCCAGGCGAGGAGCCTGCAGAGCTGGCAGGAGGGGTGGCAGAGCCCTCGGCCGAAGGGCTGTCGGGAAGGATGGAGAGGAGCAGAGGAGGGAGACCGGGGAGGGTCTCACGCAGGCAGATCCCTCCTGGGCACGTTCCCCCCTGGAAGCAGCAACCCAGAGCAGCCTTGATGCTGCCCCACTGCACAGCTCAGTGAGAGCCCGGGGGGCTCCGCAGCCCCCCAACAGCTGCTGAGCCCCTTCCTCTGCTGTGCGAGGTGCCCATCAGCAGCACATCCAGCCTGGCCTCAGGCTGCAGGACACCATGCTCCGCATCAGAACAGACCGCTGCCTCCCCCCGCCCCGAGCTGTCCCCAAAAGCCCGTCTGTCCTGGTTCCCCACCCCGCGCAGACCCAGCAAGGCACAGGCGGTGGGAGAAGTCTAGCCCAGGAGGCGATGGCATCCTCCCAGCAGCAGC